GGCCCTATATATACAAGTAGGAAAAAAAATCCATATAGAAACAAAAATTTCTGACACAGGAAGAATACATTCGGAAATAGCTTCTCAGAAAAATTTCTTTAGTCACCCTTCCAAATCACAGAGCTGATAAATTGATTTTCCAATATCAATGCTTGGTGAATTCTCATGTGAATAAGGGAGGGAGAAAAGAACTGTGATTTTGGGGAAATGGCTAAAGCTTGGCTTTTTACAATCCAAAATTTGATGAAAGATGGTGGTATACTGGTACTAAAGAGAAATGACTTTATTTTGATGGAGGAGAGTGAGAAAGACTTACTGGAAGATAAAAGAATATTAGAATGGTTTTGCAGCTTGAGAGTTGGGAAGAGGAAAACACAGTTTTCAAACCATAATAAATAAATAAAAAGAAGAAAAATTAAATTATGGCCTCTACTCTTTAAGTTGTAGAATTTGTTGATAATTAATATTCAATTCAATTTTGGTTTTGGTGCCTTGCATGTGGTGTTGTGGGGTGATATTTAATATATCATTTTTATTTTCATGTTTTAGTTAATTTAATGGGTTGACTTGAAAAAATTTGGAGGCCCCTAAATTTTGGGGGCTCTGTGCGGTCGCACACCTCGCATACCCCATGGGCCGCCTCTGCCCACCACCGACGTCCTCGCTTACCAGCGACTTGCATTTCAAGTATTTTTCTTTGTAATACTATTATATGCTTTATGCTTAACTTTTTCCTCATGTTTTATATCAATTATGATATTTGATAATTTATATATCCTTTTATTTTGCATGATTTTAGTATAAATTTATAATTTATAATACAAAATAATTATTTATAAAAAATATAAAAAATAAAATAAAAAGAAACGCCTAGCAGGGCCCAATTACTCCTCAAAGTTTTATTGGGGGGGACCTCTTCCCAGAGGAAGAAATTCGTATGAGGAGCCATGAGATGCTTGCAAATGAAGATATGCAGCATCTACTTGCTTCGTATCTTTAACATGGGTGGTTATGGTTATGGACATGCCTCCATCTCCATGAACGTTACTGAATACATCCCCAATACACCAGTGATTCGTGAACTACAGTATTGATGATGATCGCAGTCCTTCATCTGGAAAAGCTGTTGTTGGCTGGCTCAAGCCCTCAAGGCAGCCCTTATATGGGGCGTATTCATCAGAAAGAAGGCTGTTGAGAGACAGGCACAGTTAGTTCAGTTGGATGATTCATAAATATTACTTGTACGATGATCGAATTTTGGTGTCTTCCCCGCCTCCCTCATTCCTGTCATGCTGCACCTTCTAAAATTGGGCGCCTAGGCTCCGCTAGGCGGACCCCTTTTTATAAAAAAATATAAATATATTTAAGTATAGCCGCGCGGCTATACATGGGACTTTTTTTTCCTTTTATTTATTTTTTTTATTTTAAAAATCCCTGATTTTCATTTATCCTAGAGCATTATCCAGTACTGGCCATTACACAAGTCTCTATTGTCCTCTTTTGATTTTTTACTTTTTCAGAGTTATTACCTATATAAAGAATTTAGCATTTTTCCCGTTTAATACTCATATTATATACGTAGGTATGTATTTTTCAATAATATTTCTGATTTCCGTACACGTCTTAAAGACTCAATAAAATACTCGCTTTAAAAAAAAAAAAGGAAACATACAATACATGTATTGTACACGTACATATGTATTTTTCATGTTTAATACACATTTTTTACAATATTTTCAATAATACAAATAAAATTCACGTATTAGACACATAATTTTCACATATTATTGAATAAAAATAATATTATAATGTTGTTAATTTTGACTAAGAAGCAGAAACCACCAGATCAAAGATGAAGGCAACAGCTTTACTTAAATCCACCAGCTGCAAATCTTTCATTTCCAAAAAACAAAATTTCATCCAATACATCCCCCATCTACTTAGTAATATCGTTTTCCTCAAAAAATTACATACAATTCCCAACATCTCATCAGCATTTTTCTGCTTGATTCTTACAAAAATGCCCTACAAAGAGTTGTTACTCTTGAAAACAAGTAACAGATCTTCTTACACCGACCTAAAATGAGGAACACAAAATGTACCATTTTCTTTCTAAGGGCTAGCAGCTGTTTGGCTGGACGTTCAATCAGCTACGTGGTTTTGTGTAAACCAATGTTCAGATCAGAAGATATAGAAATGAGAAGGGGGCAAGAGTGGAGCCATACAGCTTTAAAAACCCGTTTCTGATGAGCTCTTATAGATTGAGAAGGCTTATGGGCGTGATATCTGATATCAAATATGTGAATCATGGGATCTGCAGTACCGGATGAGATGTATAAACCATCTGGAGACCAAGCCTGATTTATCAGAGCTGACTGAGATTCACTGCTTTCTTGCTTCCACCCAAAAGCATGTATTTCTGTTTGCCTCAGTCTGATATCAAATAGTCGGAGCTGCTTCTCATGGGTCCTGCATATAAAACATGTAATACATTACAGTCTTTTAAATAGTAGAAGGATATTAGAAATCGTAACCAAAGAAAATCCCTTCAACGTAAATGTATGATTAGCTCAACTAGCCAAGGGTTTTACAAAATGCTAATGATGGTTAATAATGCACTTCAAAAACCATGAGGCATCTTAACAAATAATATGATTCAGCATGCGAATGCATAAGGTGAACAAAACGGGATTCAATTCCAGGAGCGCTAACAAGGCAACTATCCAGAGAGCACACGTTGATGAAAAGAACATTCTAGCTGCAAAAATCAGTGTTCCTCACCCTGCTTGAACCATGAAGAGATTAAAGTCACAGGGATTTGGCAAGACACTCATGCATTTACTTTCTATCTGATGCTTGAACTCTGCTCTTCCCACGTTAGCATCAAACCCAACAATTCTCTTGTCTGCTCCAGCGGATAGTATTATCTGCTTTTGGCACATCCCAGCGACTCCCATGACAGCAGATGAATGCATATTCCTATGCAATGCCTTTGGTTTCCATACATTCTCAGCATCAGTCTCTTTCCAGATTATAACTGCATGATCGCTTCCACCAGTGACAAAACAGGTATTCTCCCAGGGTGGGAAAACTATGCTGTTAATGATCCCTTTCACATGAGGTTTATCTTCTAAGAAAGTAACACGAGCTTTCTGTCAATGCACAAAAAGACAAGAATCAGAGGTGAAATTATCTAAAAGCGGTACCGCACTTCTACATGCCTGTTCTATATTTGTGTACCCAGGAGCACAAGAAATGCTGCTCAAGCCTCAGTGTAACCCATACACAATTGCAACAATTAATTTCGAAAGCTGCCCTTACCCCTTGTGTCCTATTTAGATTTAAAACTGATACTTGAGAATCACCACTATCAGCACTATAGACAGAAAATAGGCTGTTTCCCTCAGGGTGCCAGGCTATATCTTCTGGCCATCTCCTTTGCTTTGGGGATACACAATCAGTACTACTAAGTAGAGAAGCACCTGACCTGCAATTACAAGAAACAAACGGATACATCAATCAGTTATGCAAAGTAGAAGCCCAGGCCTAAAAATTCAAGAACAGTGAACAGCAGAAGTGGATAAGCAACTTTATATTTCAGAACTGGAGATAGAAAATTGAAACTGCAACAATGAATACAACCAGAGGTCATAATATAATCATAGTTTTGCCTTTCTAAACACACCAACAAATAGCAGCCACACAGATACCAACACAAGTTTTTGAACCCACTCCCCAAAGAAAAATAAAAGGTTGAAAAATGGACTGTAATAGGCTTGGAGATTGAGCAACATAATTTTCTACCCCTTATAATGCTACCGAGCACACAATGTGAAGTTAAGAAATTAATAATGTAACAGGAAGAGATTTGGACTTTACCCCTTGGCCTGAACTTGCCACAAGTTGACTATTCCATCCAAAGCACTGCAAACATTCCAAAACACTTGTCAAAATTAATCATATGTTTGCTAGCATTTGATGCATTTTATAGTTACTAGTTGTAGGAAAAAATAGGAAATTCCAAGCTTTCTTTTACACGTCAAGTTCAAGTAAAGTGTCATTGCCTCTTTTTCAGCTGCTTACCAAATCATGTTACCAAAAAGAACAGTCATTCCTTTCTTTCTCTTAATAACTTTAAAATTTTAGGAGAATGTCGTTTAACAGAGGACACAAAAATATTACCAACTTATGACTAAGAAAGACAGATGCATAATTCCAAAGCAGTGGCATATCTAATTGATAAACATTTCTGGGTGCAGTTTCTTGAACTGAAAGGCAAAGACGGAAGAAAGGTACGAGATATTTTGAGAATTGGATATGTTACTTAAAGAGTTAAAGTTAGAGGCCTATTCTCACCCAGATATCATTTGATTTTGATGATAAGCCAAAAATGCAACTATTCTAATTAGGGACATATACTTCTTCCAGATACAGCAAACATGTTAATTACCTGGTCACAAAAAGCTGATCATTCACTGGGCACAAAGAAAGACTTCTCAACTTTCTCTTGTGCTGACTTGATATGTGATTGCTTGCATAGCAACGGATTATACTTGGTGAAGAGCTAGTACGAACCAACGGAATTAATTCTTTATGTTCTTTCTGTTCTGAAATACAAACAACTTTCCCATCACAAATGAAGAAATCAAGGAACCACACATACATGGAGTTGAGTAAACATTATACAAAGCAAAATTGCAAATGTAACCCAGAGACCGACAGTCAAGAGGAAACTGAAGATGGAGACCATAAGGCCAATCAACAGGCTAGAGTCTTACCAGATTTCCGTTTTGTCCCTCTATCTTGAATTTCAACTTCCTGCTTTGAAGAAGTTCTATAAGATTTGTCCCCTTTTTCTTTGGTAGCACTAATAGACTGACTGGAAACTGATGGACTGGCTTGAGCACTAGAACTAACTGGAGCCTTCCCACCAGACCCTGCCAATTTTGTATTAAAAGTTCTGTTTTAGAATGAGGCTGGTTTCTAGTAGAACCTTGACTTAAATGGATAGGACTCGTTGATCTGGGTTCCACCTTTGCACTTTTAGTTTCACTACCCGGGGAACTCTTGGTTGACCCTACTTTGTCATGGCGTCGAAGTCGTGCCAACTTAGTTTCGGAATCATTTAACCTCTTTGCTGCTTCCTCAAGCTGCATGCCTTTTCCATATAAACAATTAGTGGATAGTTTCCTTCAGAGGGCATCCGATGGGTTAAAACACATGGAAACATTCATCCTTTCCGGGCATAAAGAAAATGTGATAAGTATCTTGACTAGGTGATTTTCACTTTGTAGCCACTACACAATGGGTTCAAACAAGACCAATTGACTAATAAATGAACAATGGGGAACAACTCCACACAGTAAAGCAAGTCATAAATAGCAGTGTTTATGGTCAGACTCAAAACCAACAACTTTTGAGCGTGAGTTATTGATTTCTAGCTTTCATCTTAAGAACCCCAGAAAAGAAATTTTGGAGTCTTATCACCCAAACTAGTTTAGGACACGAAACCAATATGTCTGATTGATAAAGGAGTAGTTTAAATCAAACTTGCTAAATTGTTTCCAATTGGGTAAGTAAGAATTAGCAAAAAGTTAAACTTAAGCTTATCGAAAGCCCATGATGCACAGTTTATAGCAGCAGCAGCATATGAAATAAGAACAAACAAAGACCATTCCTATAAACCCCAAAATGTCATCATCGAAAAGGACCAAATACAAGAGAGAGAGAGAGAGAGAGAGAGAGAGAGAGAGAGAGAGAGAGAGAGAGAAGTGTGAAAGACCAAACATAAATAGAGGGGGGACAGAGAGAGATAAGTATGAAACGTCAAATATGAATGGTGGGGACGCAACCTGAGATTTGTAATAGGAGACGCGCTGGCGAAGGTGATGAACTTCGCGCGTACGATGCTCAATCAAAGCGACGAGGGCTTCTTCTTGCTCTTGTCTGCTATCTGGGTCGCCGTTCTCTTCTGTCATCTTGTTTCTTGCTGCTGCGGCTGCCGCTTGTTCGTCGTCGTCGTCGTCGTCTATGACTTCTACGTTCTCTGTCTTGGGCTTCTTCAGTAGAGCGCTCATTCTAATCTTTTGGGCACTCTCCAGTTTTTCTCGGCGAGGCCGAGACAACGGAACCTTTGATTCGGATTTTAGGCGGCCTGGATGGAACTGTGGAAGTTGCAAAACAAAACCCCAATCACATTTTAATCACTTCATAAACTTTCTTTGCTTTTTATTGTTTATGATTTTCACTTTAGAAAATGAAAATAAATTAAATAAATAAATAACATCTTAAAGTTTTGTATCATTAGATATTTTAGCATTACAGTCAAAATTACGCATGTACATGTATGTAATGTTGTGTGATTAGCACTCTTAATTGGCAGTATGAGAGAATGCTAAACATCATCTTCTAATATCCTCTGGTTAAGACTTCGTTTTTTTTTTGGTAATGATTAGACTTCCAATATTAAGGAGTGATACTACAGTAGTATGGTCACGTGGTACATCTTGTACATGTGTTAACCATGTCGTCCATCCTCACGGGCAATTTGATAATATGATAAATGAAGGTCAGATATCTAAAATTTCTGGTTTTAGATATTATGGTATCATTGACAATATTGATTAACTATTGAATAAGAAATACTCATTTGTTAAAAGATCATCCTTTGACAAGAAGATTATCTGAATAAAATAAATAGGATTTATTCTCCCTTTTTCTTTTTCTTTTTTTGTCTCTAGGGGTCAAAAAATATCCTATCAAGCTACAAGATATAACATTAGGCCAAAAAAGATACAAGAGACTGAGAGCATTAGCATCCAATTCATATTAGCATCTCAAAATTTGCAACTGGAAGAACACTCAAATGTGCTGAGGGTCTCTACCCTTGGCCAACCAGAAAAAGGGCCCACATGGGTAAGGGGAAAAACAGAGACAAGGTAATCTTAGCACAATGTTCTGTGAGTGCCTATACACTGAGATATTGTTCACAAACAAAGACTCCAAAATTTTAAGGTTGTCAAGCCAGTCTCTGTGTTGGCTTAATATGAAACATCAGAGAAATAGAAAATGTTGTGAATTAACTCTCTTGGTCTAGGTAACCCAAAACCTCATAGAAGCAACTCCTCTATAGTCAAAAATGAAGTCAATAGACCACCCCTGATGTAGAGAATTGGAATGGATTTAGTTGTTGTCCTCCAATATTAGGTTCAATTGGTTAGTAACCTGGGTAGACCAAGTCTTTCAATCAGATTCCTTTGAAGAATTGAAACCGCCACCAAGTCCGAGGACCTTGGAACTTTCCTCTCCGTTTGCAGAAGGACTCCCTTGATTATGGTTATCCTCATAGCCAGCCGTTCGAGGCTTTCCTGGTCTTGATCGGATGTTGGTACCCATGGGGAAGGGTTCCTATAGAGAGAAAAGGAAAAGGAGGGGGTCAGTCATGGAGTATATGCAAGGAAGGGGGAATTTCAGAGTCCTGGACAGTTCATCTCATGATATCTTACTGGATCCCCAGCATTTGGACCCTCTGTGTGAAAGAGAATGGGACGACAGCGTTTGTCTTCGTTCATCAAACTTGAATTCTGGAAATGGGCAATAAGAGCAGATTTTCCCTGAATACGAGCATATGCAAGTGATGCCACCTTTTCACTGTTAAACTTCTCCCATTTTTTACCATTGAATGCCTGCAACAGAAGTAATATATTGTCACTTGCTAGTGCATTGAAAAATCTGAAACAAAGGAAAATGTCACATAGCAAATGACTTTTTTCGGCAAGTAAATGACACATCTAAGTCCGACAAACCTTAAAGAATGGAACAATCTGATGAGGATCAACCATGTTGATGAATGCATATCCCACATTGCATTTGTTCTGCGGAAGGTAGACACGCAAAAGTTGAATTAGAAAAACATATGCTCTCTACCCAATGAAAGATGATATACTATACAATTTCCTTGCCTTGAAGTCAATTGGCAAATAAAGAAAGTCATAAATTCCTCGACACTGCTCATCAATTGCAGCAAGAAGCATCTTTGAAGTATACCTGTAACAACCATTTAATTAGTTTAGCAAATCAGGAAAATTACTATGTACAACTAGATAGCAATTTATACAAAAATATGATTATTGCAGTTTCAAGAATGCATGTTTATCATAGTACTGTAGCAGGTACTTCGGGACTGTCCTGTTGCACTTTAAGTTATAGACGAGATCCTCATTTTCTTTCTTTCTCAATTTTATGCAACTATGTTAAGCCCTAACCAAGCAGTAAGTGCTACAGTTAATGCCATGTTAGGTATCTTATGAAATTGAAAGGTAATGAAGCTACCATGTTAGGTTGACTTCTTATGATTATCAATACAACAACGGTCGACTGCAATGTGGCATTAACCACATCTTTCAGATACGCTATAACATTACAAATGAACATGATCACATAAGATTATCAAGACCCAAGGACATCCAACTACCTAATATTTTTCCACATATGACATCCTGTATGTATAACTAGTCTTTCCCAAGCAGACAATCAAGGGCAGCCTAAAAAGCGATACGACAACTTTGGATGGACAAATGAGATGTGAACAGATACTGGAAGTACAAAAGCAAGAATGGGAAAATGTTCATCCAGAAAAATCTTCCAGCATGTTGAGTATAGAGTAAAAAGAAAAGATGGCAGGTTGAGTATAAAGTAAATGATATACATACTTGTTGGGAATGTTCTTTATCATCAACGTGGTTCTTCTGTCTTCCCCGCGCAATATACGTTCAATATCAAGCTCATATTGTTTCTTATCAGCAATGTTAGAATTTGCTTCATTTCTTCGGTGAGACAGATGTCTAACACGTTCGTTCGGAGAATCAAAAGAGGTAGGCATTGAACTCATCGAATTCCTTCCAGGAAACATGTGGCAGATCTCCTGTGAAGAGCGTTGCCGGGCACTTGTAGTCATATCCAAGAAATTTCCTCCAACAAGAGAAAATATGTTGTGTGAAGGAATTTCCATAGGATGCATCTGGGGACTGCTGGGAAAATGTGCAATGCCAAGAGAACCCAAGTGAAGACTAGAAGTGTCAGGAGACTCCCCTGAATAGGCGTGCCTTTCCCAAAGGGAAGGGTTAACAGCCGGAGCTGATCCTACATGGTGCTGCACAGGTGATGTACTGTTCAGCATATGAGGCGGTGTTCTGTGGAATCCAGGCATTTGTGGAAAGCGATGTGCATTAGGACCATTGATAAATGATGGTGAATTCTGCCACATCATGGGACTTGAAGGATGCTTCTGGTATGAGTTGGAGTTATTCCACAAATAAGGATGTGCATGAACAGGGCAGCTCCCATTTCCAGGAGATCCAAAAGCTGTATGAGAATAGACTTGTAAACAACAAATTCACCAGAATAGTGACTAGATTTAAAAAAGTCATTAACCTCAATCCAAAATGCAATGAAATAAAGGTACACTGAGTTAGTGATGATGAGAGACAAACTCTAGACTTCATCTAAACTACATGGAAACAAGGACCACAGAAGGCACTATGAGAACCACCACTCAATCAGTAATACTAATATGATTCCTACATCCCCTATCTCGTTTAACATGAACAATATAATGTAAAAATAAGAGAAACAGATAGCACACAATAAAACAAAAGAATCGGAGATGTAAGAAGTGATGGGTCCACGCTGTTTACAGCCCAGGAAAAATAAAAAAAAGTACGACTAATACTGTAGAAATCTAGGAGTGCAAAATGCTTGGTGCTAAAACGGGAACCAAATATTAAACCAAAATTTACACTGAGAAACGATAAGGGGGGGATAGGCTAGGAAGAAAGGAGAAAACAATTAGCAAATTCAACAAAGTTATGTTTCAGATATCAAACATTGCAAGACGTACTACATACTAGATAAAACCAAAATTCTCTGGTAAGGTCCTTCAATAAAATCATTTCAGTCGTTAAATCATATAAGGATGACTAGGATGCATTGAGACGCATTAGCCCGCTGTACAAATTATCTGTCCATTAGAACTCTACTAAAGAATGACATAAAGTAATATAATGGATGTACCTCCTCCATTCAGTTCCATTAGGTGACCATTTGCATTGACCCCACAAGTGGGCCTTCTGTCTGTTCCTTCTGACATTCTAAGGCCCACATTGCCAGTCATGTTTGCAATAGCACCAGAAGAGTTGCACGGAATACCATGGGCTATGTCATGATACTCAGGCAAGGAATGAGGATGTAAACTGGGAATGCACTGGTTACCAAACTTCATGTCATCCAGAGAGTGATCAGGCTCACAAAGGCTAAATTTTCTCCCTGCAGACGCAACAGTCGCCGGAGAGGGCAAAGTATCTGGAACACTTGAACTCTGATGAAGTAAAGCATTTTCAATAAATGCGCTCACAGGCGATCGGACTGCAGAATGTAAGCCCAGGATAGATCCATTAACCATGGAGCTTGATTCAACCATTCCGGGACGAAGCATCACTGTAATAAAAGCAAGGTAAAAATTTTATAAAAAGGTACACACAAATTGAAGCAAGAATTCTTAACAAGCAGATTCATACCCTTGCATCCTGTTGATAAAGATTCACTTGGGCTATGACCAAATTTATATTCATCTTGCTCCTGCTCAGAAACTTGAACCAAACTGCAAAAGGAATGTTTTTTCTTACAAAGGAGAAATTTAACAATTTCAACTTAAAGGGGGATACAATGAACAAGTAAAATGGAACAGTAACATGCTAAGAGAACATCCAGGAGAATACCAATACATTAGGCAACAAAGCCAAAAATTGCCTCTTTTAAGATCAAAACCCCACAAAGAAGAGAATTTATAGAAAGTCACAATCCCCCTCAGAATCTAACAAGGACTCCTTTTTAATAAGAGCTAAAGATAATCAATAGGAAGAGTAAATTATCAGTACCCCCTCCTTACACCCCCTGGACGGCTTGGTTCAAGCTTGATCTGCTTCCCACCAATCTCACTCCTATTCAACGCATGAAGAGCAGCTTCCGCAGCTCTAACATCATAAAATTCTATGAACTTGTTATGAGGCTTGTGTGGAGTCTCACGGATCTAGAAACAAAAAATAGCAACCACTTAATATGGAAAGTTATTTCATCCTCTTAGAAGCAAAGCAAGATAATAGAAGGAAAAACTTGAACAACTTGAATGACTTACTTCTTTAATTTCTCCGTAAGATCCAAAAGTTTTAGAAAGCTCATCATTAGAAACAGAAGAATCAAGGTTGAATAACACCAGCGTTCCTTGGTTAATATCTTTATCAGAAGGATTGTCCTGACATATTGGCATGTACAGAAGCATGAAGGAACAAAGCAACATGATAATGTATAAACAAGAATGGGGAAGAAAAAGGCAGTGCGCATACAAAAACAGTGAATAACAAGCGACCACCATACCTTAGGTATTGAATAATGTATGTCAAGCTTCCTACGCCTCAGTGGCTTACTTTGAAGTGCTCTTAGTGCATTTTGGGCTGCCCTTATATCGTAATAAGAAATCATAACAAACCCACGATGTTTGCAGGCTGTGTAAAGTGCCCGGATATCTCCAAATCGCTAACAGAACAAAATACAATTGTCAATTTAACTAGCAAGGTAAACTACTTCAACTGGCTTGCATGCACTTGCAAATTAGAAATTGTAAAATAAAGAAAATAAAGGAGAAGAAAAAACTTATAAAGGAGGTTATAACCACCTCAAAAAGAGACTTCAACTCCAAATCTTCAACATTGCTATTAATATTCCGGACAAAAAGTGTTCTAGAAGGGTGTTCACCATTAGGGTGTTCACCCACAATTGAGCCATTACAACCCCCTAGACCATTGGAAACTCCCCCACTAAAATCAGAATCACAGAGTCCTGCGCAGATTTCTCCTTCTAGTTCCATGCCACCACCACTGCTAAAGAGATCAAAATCTTCAAATCCATCACCAATAATAGCATGAGTATTATAACCCAGCCCATCTATCACGCCGGAAAACAAGTCATTTTCATCAGGAAGGAGATTCCCAATTGTTTGTGCCTCAATTTCTTCAAGAGATTCAAAGGGTTCTTCCTCATGTTGGGAAGCAACATTATTAGCAGCTTGATGAGGTATTAAATCATTCTTTAGTAATCTCACTGCATATTAAAGAAAGCAAAACAAAACAAAACAAAAGAGGAGATGTTAAGTTAATAAATATGCACATTTGTGGAAAATGCAGAGAGTTATACATCAATCAAGTAGTATCAAGGAAAATATAGTCAGCTTAATTCAACTCAACAAAGACTTAATTCCAACAAATGCGTACGTAACTGATTAAATATTAGTACATAGAAGTAGAAAACAAACTAGAACATGTCTTATGCATGGACAAAAATAGGTTTTAGAAAGATTCTGGGCCGAGTTAATTGAAATGCGGTAACTTTATGCAAGATAAAGTTCGAGATTAGAACTTGTTAGACATGAAATTGAAGAAAATATTTTTGTGAGAAAATTAAAGTTTGCAGCTTCTTTTGCATGCTTGTTAAGGAATTATAGAACTGCAAATTTTTATATCTGTCAACAAAACTAAAGAGTGTCTAGTCAACAGGCGTAGCTGATTTGAGAAATATAGAAGGTAATATTATTATTACCCACAAGCAACATATGAGCAAACATTTAATATAATTTAAAAGGAAAGCTTACACTTTTTACTAAAAATTTCAGACAAAGAACTTGAGAACAGACTACTTTCATGCTCGGCGCCATGAAGAACAGTTTTGCTGCCAGCCGAGCTATAAGGTGTTGGCTTTGTGGACAAGTCTGACCACAATTTTGGTTGGTGATCCATAGGTTTCCACGAGGCCTTGGAGATGTTGGCAACTCCACCAATGCTTAGCCTTTCTGTTTGTTCCCCAGCCAGCTTGGATTGTGGCATATCCAAGTAATCTGCTGATTGTGCCCCAATTGGTAAAAGCTTTCTTGAGGGTAAAGAATGACTGAACATGCTGCCAGGTGTGGCTACCGTTCCATCCACTCCCACTGAAGGACAAAATTTACACAAGAGGGTAGTAAAAGTTATCGCGCAGCCTTTTTTATCATAGAACTTATTTGTTCAAATTTAGAGTATGCCCATAGGGGAAGGGTATAGTCTGTTGAACCAAGACAAAATTACAGTTTCCATAAAAAGGTTAGCATTCAAAACTTCTGACAGACAAGCTAACATTTATTTTCTACAAGATGGATCAAGTTAATTCTCAATTTCAATTTAAACGCTTCTGAGATTAGAGCATAAAATCGATTACTTTATAGAGCAATAAGAACTTTTATTACAAAGTTGGGAATTGGGACAGCCAGTTGTCATATGTTTGACCAAAATGAATGCAAAATACTTCTGAATGTTTGAAATTACTTTATCATGGCAACTATTTATGTTATTTTCCCTCTTTGCAAGGCAAGATACCACCAGGTGTGGCGACTCAGACCCAAGTATCGAGCGAGAGAGGCCGGTGAACTTACTGCCACACCACATGTTCCGACAGTTGTCATTACGTTAGGGCTGTCTGTTTGGTTGGGAAAATCTTTCAACTGGTGATGTTGTATAACCTTTATAACCCACTACGACTAATTAGCTGATAGACTGTATCAGGAAAATGTACTAATGCTCACCTTGGTAATCAGGCATGGTTTTCAGCTTCTGAAATCCAACTTGTCTCTGGTGCATCAAATTTAGCAAATTGGTAAATAGAAATAACAACTGAAAAAAGGTATGATGTGCTAAAAAGGGACTAAAAATTTATGATAGAGTTAAACAGGGTATGAAAGCCTTACAGGCACCTAAACACCAGTGCCATATATCCATCGAAACTTCACGAAATACTAAAATTAGAACATTTTCATTTTAATAAGACAATAAGTACCTCAGAAGGAAAAGGAATTTCATCAAAGAAGTGGGAAGAGACAGATACACCCCTTTGATCCATTATTTCAAATGGCATCGTGCAGCACTCAGAAACCAGAAAAAGATTACCAAACAAAAACAAAAAATGTAAGAGCTCAAATTTTCTCACTTGCTGAATCTGTCTATGTTACATGGCTCCTTGCCTGAAAATTAATGTGAATAACAAAAATTAAAAAAATAAAGATGATCCACTCCAGATATTACACAACCAAACACAAAATTCTAAAGAAAAATTGAGAAGGGCATTTAAAAATAAAGATGATCCACTTCAGATATTACACAACCATACATAAAATTCTACAGCAAAATTGAGAAGAAGGGCATTCAGAAATTTCAAAGAAAATACAAATCAATTCATATAAAGCTTTAAAGGTTACTCATCAGGCTCTCCAATTGGAAAATGTTGAAGATTTTTGTTAAATTTGCTTTTTGGTGTCTCTGTGTGTGTTAAGTTACAACCTAAGAGGCTGAGAGAGATAATAGAAATGGTAAAATAGTAGGAAAGTGAAAATGTTTGTTTACCTACCAACAACCAAACACAATTGCCCCATTTGGTTGTAGAGAAAAGGTAGGAAAACAAAATCAAACTTAATCATTTTGTTTTCCGAAGTTCCTAAGCAACCTAAAATGCATCAAAATTGAAACTTAACCCTTCAAAATAGTACGAGGCAAAGAGCAAAAGATCCAAGAAGAACATGCAAGTAGTTGAAGTTTAACCCTTTAAAATTTTAAGAAAGTCGATAAAAATGAACTCAAAGTTTCAAAATTTACACAGAGGAAAGGAAATTAAACAAGAAGTCATCACCCAAAAAATGATAAAATTTACAACAACAAAAAATAAGAACAAGGTCTGACCTAGTACAAGAGAAGGCTCATCAGCATAATTGACCACCACGTCCAAAATTCAGCTCAATAATTCAGAAGACTCAGAGAAAGATCAAAAAAATAAATTGAAACTTATGACACAGCAATGGATCTCAGCATATCTGCATCTGAACCGCCTTCTCCTTTTGCAGCATTGCAAGTTATCACTCGCCACAAAACTAGAGAGAGAATATCAAAACAAAAATCCAAAATTCTCTTCTTTGTTTTTTCTGGGTTGCTTCTACCTAACCTTTTTTCTTCAAAAAATAACGAAAGAGCTGGTTTTTTTTTTTATAAAAAAAAAAAAAAACAGAGCTTGGAGCCGGAAAATGAGAAAAAGGAGGGGAATTCCGGCGAGGGAGAGGGGTCCTGCCGGTGCGTCAGTACTGTAGAGAAAGAGAATATATAGAGGAAGCTGTTTTTGTGATTTGTTTAATCTGAGAGCGTCAGAGAGAGAGAGAGAGAGATGTTTAGTTGGTTGGCTGGCTTTTGTAGGTTTGAAATAAAAAAGAAAATAAAAGGAAAAAAGAGGAAGAAGAAGAAGACAAGGACAAAAGGAGAAAAGGAAATGGGGCGCGGGTTTCTTTGTGTGTTGTGGATAAAATTTTGTGAACGAAAATGGAAACACAAACTTGAACAACTCAAAACTCAATAAAACAGGGAAGAGGAGGAAGAGAAGCAAAAATCCTACACACACGAGGGCCTTTAAATTCGGTGGAGTGCCAGAGTGGGGTTGGCTTAGACTGGAGAAGGACAAAAAAAAACCCGTCACAGTCCTTTCTTCTTTCTTTCTCAACCACCACTGACCTTTCAGTTTGTTTTGATTTTTGAGTTTTGAGTTCTGAGTTTTGAGTTTTGAGTTTTTGACCTTCTTGCCCGACCCGTTTCCACATCCACTTTTCTCGAGTACTTGGATACTACTTCCCTATCTACTTGGCTTTGCCGGCTTGGCTTCTTTTTCTTTGTTTTAATAATTATATCCCTGTATTGTTTGGGGCATTTGCATTTGTTGGAAATATTGTTTCCCCTTGGTTTAACTTAACCACATTTCATCTAAACCTGTCTGATTTTTCTTTTATGGATGGTGTTTGTACCATACATGACCGAGCATACTTCGGTACAAGAGCTGGTACTCAATCAAAGGCCACGTTATCATGCCATGAGTTATGTAAATAGAGTTTAAAGTACGATTATATGATCAAGTCAGTGCGTGGTGAATAAGTTATTTAATAGTTTGAAAATGCATTAATTAGAAATAAATGGTTGTTGCCACTACAGTTAGGACTTTGTAACTAAAAAGCGGGTAACAGAGATATGGAGATCAATTATTACTTCGATGTCATACTTGGACTTATATAAGTGGAGTTTAAAGCAAGAAATATCACAATTTAAAAAAAAAATTGTAAAATTCTTCTTTTATGGATGGTAAGAATGCAACTTCAAGTCCAACATTTGTCAATGCTCTACCACAGAAGCTAATGTTAGTGAAGTTGAAAGTACGACCATATGAACAAGTAGCCAATCACATTCCTCTTCTTGTTGAACCCTAGGGTTATTTTCTACTAGACTACTAGGTAGTCAAACAACATGGCAAGTTTTGGCTTGGTTTGTTAATGTTTGTTTGGAAAGTTTCATAAGAAAAAAAGTAAAAAAATGGCATAATATTCTTCTCTCTTCTCTAAATCTCTCCTCCGGATAGCTCGAGGTGAGGTGTCGTGTACGAAATGTTTTGATTTCAAGATCAATTACAAAACTCACCTAATAAGCTGTCCTACGTATTTATTGCAAAAATATAAATATTTTTAAAATTATCCTAAGTTTTGTCTACAAATTACTCCAAGAATAATAACATTTGCTGAGCATGTCACAAGGCTCCTTATCTTTATCGACAAAAATACAGATTAGCAGCCAATCAATGTTTACTTTTTTTGACAAATGGTAACCTAATCACATGGCCTAATCCAATCATTTATTTTCTGCCTCTTTTTGTCTTTTTCCTTTTATATTGTTTATTACTTTATAGTCCATTGTATCTTAGCTACATTTGAGGGTGTAAATTGTGATTAACAGCTGCAATTTCCCTTTTTTTCTTTTTTTTTTTGTTGAGAAATTATAGTATTATATTCATAATTCAGCCAACACAAGTCACTAATCATAAAGGACCATTACAATAACAAAGCGGTCAAATATAAAAATTAAGATAATTTGGCGCGCATTTACTAACGATCACACAAGATCGAAGAAATTATGATATAGATATCCTAACTAAGATTGTAAGCTCATAATAATTAAAAAGAGATAAAGCTTGAAAAAAACTCTATGATAATACAAATAAAACTTTCACAAATGAGAAATGAAAATCTCTCACAAAAAAGAGTTGAAAAGTTCTCACAAAATGAAAAGTAAAAACTATACAGAGAACCCAAAAAGTCTCTGTAACTTATTCTAAATATAAAGAAACCGCAAAAAATATGGTGCTAAAGATCCGACGTTGAAATGTATGTAGAGATTCAACGCTAAGACGAAGCTGCTTATGATAATTGGAGGAAAATAATAAAAAAATGAAGACAAATAGGGAAACTTTTGTTTTGAAAATGAGGGAAGAATATAAGGGACAAAGTTGGACCCTACATTTTAAAGCCTCAATGTGATTTTTCACACCTTGTATCCAACTTGAGCTTTTAATCATCATCAAACCTAGTCCCATCCTCATCCATCCAACAAATAAAATAAATTATCTGCTAGTATTATTGTTTAAAAAATAATATATAAAAAAACAAGTGTCACAACATAATGGCTGCATACTATAAGTCAGCCGAGCCGAGCCGAGCCGAAAGAAAGACCAAGTGATTGTCAACCTGGGAGGGACCGGCATTTAGAATGCGGAAGAGCACTTAAAGCCTACGTGCTCATACCCAGCCACGTGTCCTCGAACCAGTTTGAAAGCTGCTTAAAAAAACTGAGAACCCAAAATAAAAAATAAAAAAATAAAAAATTCAGAGCTATGAATGAGTATATGATTTCGTGCCCCAACACACACACTTTTTTTCTTCTTTTTTCACTCATTGATTTTTAAAGTTAAAAAAAGGTCATATTGTTTTTTCTACTTTTACTTTTGCTTTCAATTTGCCTTCAAACTACAGCAATTTTTAAAAATTAAAAATTAAAAAATTAAAAAATTAAAAAAAAAATTAATTTCTTAAATTGGTTAGTTTAGATAAAATCACCTTTCCAATACCGATGAGGCGAGTTTAATTTAATTCATCATTATACATTGGTTTATTTATTAATACATATTTATTTATTTAAAAGCCTCTCAATTCCAATCTCTTTATTCACCTTTATTCTCACTTTTAAAGGGAAGATTATTAATAAGTTTTGCATAAAATATAGTAAAACTATAGAGAAAAATGTGTGGTACAAGAAAAAAAGAATCAAAGTCATAATCATTGACGACATTTTTATTCAAAAAAGCCAATATTCCCCATATTTCGAGAATATCAAGGTGTCACGTCCTTAACCAAGGTTGGGAAGTAACATCACAGATATTAGCATACCAAAAAGACTTGTGTGCCACATAACCCAAACAATTGTAATAAGAAAATAAAAAGGATAATCTTAGGGCCCGTTTGATAATTATTTTAATTTTAGTTTTTATTTTTCATTTTTTGTGCTATAATACATAGGAAAATGAGAGTGGGAACAAAATCTTGAAAGTGAAAACAATTTGAAATATATTTTTGTTTTTTATTTTTGTTTTTACTTTTGTTATTTCTCCATCTCATCCTCTCCTAGGGGTGGCATTTTAAACCGAAAAACCGAAAAACCGAAAAACCGCAAAAACCAACCGACAATTTACCGCAATGAAACCGCAATCGCGGTAAACCGAACCGCATTTGCGGTATTAAGAACCGAACCGCATTGCGGTTGCGGTTGCGGTATTTGATTTTCAAAACTTGCGGTTACCGCAAACCGCAAAGTATAGCCACACGGATGATGAAGTTGAATTTTACAAGGAAATAGAACATATGACAACTTGTAAGTAATTAGTTTATTTATACTAATGTTATTTATGCTTCTTCTTATAATAAAATGTACTAAACTATATTGTTTTATTTGTAAATAACATTGGTGCTCAAACAACACAACGGGGTTCTTCAAATCCACTCACCACCAACACTTGAGTTTGTAACTTTAGTTTGTAACATTGGTGCATTGCATTTTCCTTTTAGTTTGTAACTTTAATTAACTTTGAATTGGAATTTTTTTTTTTTGTAACTTTAATTCATTTTGCTTTGCATTTTCCTTTTGATTTATAACTTTAAAGGATTTGGAATTGGAATGCTTGAGAAGTTTAAATTTAATTGGAATGCTTGGAATTGTAACTTTAATTTTCTTAGGTTGTGAATGCTTGAGAAGTTGAGAAGATTGTGAATTTATATATGTTTGAGAAATTGAGGTTGTGTATTTATTTAGGTTGTGAATTTATATTTTTGTGAATGCTTGAGAACTCGCGGTTTTAAACCGCTAATTCGCGGTAACCGACCGCATTTTGCGGTTTACCGCAATGCGGTAACAAACCGCAAATAGTCGGTCGGTTTGCGGTTTGAGTAAAAATTCGCGGTTACCGAACCGCAACCACCCCTATCATCTTCCCTTTCAATCTCATCTCCATTCTAATTCTCACTTCCATTCTCCTACTTTTTTCTCTACTCTAGCACAAAAAATGAAAACTAAAAATGAAAAATGAAATGGTTATCAAATGGGTCTTTAATTTTCAATTATAGTGATCAATGAAGTTGAAATTTTCCTACAATTTTAATGTGATACGCAATCCTTTTAAGGGTCTCACTTACTAGACTACTTGGCTTAGTCTCCTTCGTTATAATGTGACAACTTTGGTTCTATTTTTTTCACCTATAATCTTATCTTAGTTTTTTTATAATTTTTTGGCTTATTATTACAAAACATCCATAAGGTTTACGAAACTATCAAATTGCATCCTTAATTTTTTTTATTTTTTTTTGGTCACTTGTGGTCCTCAAGGTTAGTATGTGCAATTACAAATGGTCTTTGTCATTAGGTTCCGTAAAAAACTTTGTTAGTTTGTTGACGTGGTAT